GCCTTTCCTGGAGCTCACTTGGTAGCCCAGGCTGGCCTCAAACTCACAGAGATCCACCTGGCTCTGCCTCCCGAGTGCTGGGATTAAAGGCATGCACCACCAACGCCCGGCTCTGTTTTTTATCTTTTGAACTCCTCTTTCTTTATCTACTTCTAAGATTTCTTCTCTCTCTCTTCCTCTCCCCCCACCACGTTCTTTTTAACTCTCTCCAAGAAGTATCACCGATAGTCCTGAATAACTCAAAGGAAGATTATAGATTTATTCAAAAGCAGTCCAAAATAAGAACTCTGTTAAGATATGTAGCCAGAGGGAGGACCTGTCCAGACATCTCTTGATGGCTGTGAGTGTATGACTCCTTTGTGGAGTTCCATGCCTCTGTGGCTTCTTTCCTGGACCCAGATTGGCATCATAGTCTCTACATATCATCTCCTTGAGGCTGGGGCCTTAGGCAGGGGGTCTCATCCAGCTCTGCTGGGAGGGTCCTTTAGACGCACAGCAGTGCCTCTCTCGGTCTCCCTGGAAGCTGCCTCTTCTCCACTGCGCGGTCCCGGGCTCTGCCTCCTCTGTCTGCTTCGTGCTTTCTCATTATAGGGATGCAAGGAGTGCGGAGTGGATGGGAGACAAAGTGTGGTGCTATATTGTGTACCCTAATAAATATGCCTGAGGATCAGAGGACAGGGGCAGCTACTAGATTAAACATAGAGGCCAGGCAGCAGTGGCACACACTTTTAATCCTAGCACTCGGGAGGCAGAGGTCCTTTGGATCTCTGTGAGTTCAAAGCCACCCTGAATGACATGAGATTGACTCAGTCTAGGAGAGAAAACAGAGCCAGGCAGTGGTGGCACACACCTTCAATCCCAGTACCAGGAAGCACACACGCCTTTAATCCCAGGAAGTGGTGGCTGGGTGGAGAGAGGTGAGGAGACAGGAACTAAATGCTTTTCAGCAGAAGCGTCCCTTTCAGCTAGAGGCTTTTTTTGGCTGGAGCCTTTCAGGTGAGGACTCAGAGGCTTTCAGTCAGAGGATTTGTGGAATTGGTGAGGTAAGAGATGGCTGTGGCTTGTTCCTTTGTCTGATCTTTCAGCATTGACCCCATTATCTAGCTCCAGGTTTTTATTAAAAGACCTATTAGAAATTCAAGATGAAATTAAGTATTAATTGTATCCACCCAGAGACAAACCCTCCTTTAGATGGAAACATGGACCCCCAGGTTATTTTTTGTTGTTGTTGTTCTGGATATTTTAAGAACGTACATCATGCTTACAGTCCTATCTGCTTTATATATTATCTTAGAACATTCTCACTGAAACATTAAAATAATCATTACAAAATTGAAAACTAATATAATGGTGATTAGAATTGCAAACAGACACAAAGCCCTTTGACATTTTATTTCAATGTAGGGTGAGTATTTGTAAGTACTTTTTAAGATATAGTTTTAATTAAAATGTAAGTGCATCTCTTCTCCCC